ATTTCCCTAGAAAACCACTGTTAAAATAAAACAGTCACCTATACTGCACGAGGCAATACAGTCTTTCTACTATAACAATACTGTTTTATAATATAGATTTTCTTTCTCCTTAACAGTTGGGAAATGCTACACAAAACACAGAACTCTTCTGTGAAGCCTCTACGTGACCAGAGAAGCACATGGAGATACGTAAGGTTGCATGCAAATCGGCTCAGTCATGGCATTCAAGCAGCTGTGCTTCATGACCTGAATAGAGACAATTCCTTTTCCATATGCTATACTTCTTCTGCTTATCAAGTTACTCACCCTGCCCTCCCAACAATAAATTTTATTTCTAATGCAACTACAGGGGAGAACAAAAGAAATGTACTCCTCCGCTTCAGGTGCATCTTCTGCATCTTTCCTGTACTGACTGGCTGGCTCAACCTGCTGTCCCTTCTTCACGGCATTCTGGCAAGAAGAAACATGAAGAAACCGTAATTCATGGGGTTATGGTAAAATAAAAAACATGTAGGAACAGGGCTATGAAAGGGATGAGTCATGAAAAAAATAGAACAAAATGAAAGGCCTAAACTGAGGTTAGGTGAGGAAGAACATTCAAGGGAAAAAGAAATAAAAATAGAAAACAAAAGAAACAAAAAAGGAAGAGGTTAAAGAAGAATTATAGTTGGTATGATGAAAATAGAAGGGGGATAAGGCAAAATAACGCTGTAGAGGAAGTAAAGGACTGACCGGCAAGATTAAAAGAGGCAGTCTTGAAGGAAGAGACATACAAAAAGACATTGAGGATCGGGGGGAAAAAAAAGAAGCTACAATGTCATTTTATTTTACATATAAAGCTATTTTACCAACCCTTCAGCATTCATGATGTAATGAGCATTAGGCTAGTGAAAGTTCTGAAGTATTTCCGCATGTGGGCAGTTCCTTGAACCCAGCTGCTGTTGGAAGCACATGCTGCCTACATTCTGAAACGCGGATAACCTGATAGCAAAGGGCCCCACTGGATGGGCAGGCTAATACCAGCAAAGAGCAACTGTAAAAAATTAGCTGTTTTTTATTCAGATCTTCAGCCTTCAGGTTGAGAGGGTACCAGAAGGTTGCTTTGTAAGTTCCACGTTTTCCCTCCCTCCTTCTTAATATCTCCAGTGCATCAAAAGAAAAAATTCAAATAGCTTTTACAATTGCTATTTGAAATATGACACAAGCACCTTATTTAAAGGCAATCAAGTAGTTAAGCTAGTTAAAATGACACAACAACAACTCTGTCCTGGTCTCCCGCTGTAGACAACTGAAGCTAACAGTGTAATAGAACGTACTACCACCAGTCCTTGTTCAATGGAGGAGTTTTGCTGACACTTAACTGGTACAGGAGAGTCAACTGGAAAGTAGAATTACATGCAAAAGACCAAGTGACACCAAATTTAGCTCACAATACAAAGATTATCTCCCCTGCACTAGGCGGATGGTGATGATGATACTTTATTCTCTAACCTCATACATAGTTGATTATACTACACCATGGAGAGACAGAACACTAATAGCAGGACTGCAAATGACAGAATTTTGCCAAGCTGTTCCACATAGATATTAGCCAGCTTGGATGAAATGAATAATAATGAAATTAAGGCAAATTATTAATTTAAGCAAGATCCATTGGTGTTTGTCTGGCATGCTGTAATATAATTAAAACTGATCAAACTATTAATTGTGAAAAACTGTTAGTTAGATTTAGCCTTTGTTCCTGTTTGTGAGTCTTCTCTGAACAGATTATGACTTTTACAGATTTATTATTGCTGTTTCTAATTGCTCAAAAACAGTACATGAGAAAAAAAAATTAGCCTACAGGCTTCTTTGTACTGTCGATACCAAATTTCAAGTATACTGAAGTACCTATATTCAGTTTACTAACAAAAGTACGGTTACTCACTTAGCTATCTGATATGATCTATGTTCCCTCACTTTTACAAAGTGAGGAGGAGGAATAAAGGAAGTAATGGAAATAATGAATTTCCACAGAATGTAAGACAAAGAGGGTAGTAGGCAAGCCTAATGGTAGGAAATGCTTAAAAAATCCACCCTGTCTATGCAAGGAAGTACAATATATTTAATGATATGAGAAGCCTGTAGTAAGAACGAGCAAGAATTCCATCCTTCCCTATAAAAAGGTAGAATATGCCTAATAATCAATTAATATAGCTCTCTTGTAAGGTAGGAGAGTACTATTATCACCATCTGACTGATAGGGAATTAAGAAACAAAGGCTATATCAAAGCGTGAGGAATTAGGCCTCTGCATTCGTATTATATCCCAGCCATATCCCCATCTGAGCATTAATTTACATCTCATCTTGCTTTTTGCAAGAAAGAGAAAAAATTGGGCATCTTTGCAGTGAGAGATCTTCAGGGCACACCCACCAAATGCTTGATCAGAACTGATCATAGCTCTGCATACAGGTAGCGGTCAGTCTACATACAGTTAGAGAGGTTTAACAGTACCTATACTGGTAAAATATATGTACCTGAAACAAGATCTCCCAAGTTTGTCATCAGCCTCCTAACTAATAACCCTGTTTCTTGTTTCTCTCTCTTGCCAGAGAATGTGTGTTACCCTGTGCTATCCTCCATCTAAAAAATAATTCTCATTTTTGAGCAAGATTCTGCCCTTAGCCTACAATCTGGTGTTATTCCTGTTGCTGGAAAGTAAATACTAATTAAAACAACACTCTTGAAGTTAATATAGCATGACATGACAGCTCAAATTAAAAAATTTAAAGCAACATCTCTAAATACAATTTTTCTCTCTGAACTCTAGCTCTTATGTCTTGTTTTGCCAATCAGCTATTCTCTTCACTCACTTCCATCTATATTCAGTGCATCATCTTTGTGTGGCATGGAGATAAGCATGCTCCAAGCCAGCTGAGAAAGTCTGACTTATTTTTCTCAAGCCACTCTAATCTAAAATGCAGCAACCTAATTTAAAACATAGCGAAGGAATTAGTGTACACAATAAACTATTTTAAAATCAGGAGCGAATGGCCAGATCAGTTTCCAGGTGTTTTAACCAAGGCTTTGTTTCCCATCGGAGGCTTCCCTTCCCTCCTAATCATATCTTCACTTAGACTCCTACTTGTGTGCACACACATTGTCTAGACAGTCACATAACATCTCCCTTTCAGAACATTCCTGCCGGCTCTCCGGCATGTAATAGCTCTGTAGAACAATTTACATGATAGCTAAAGATTACAGCACAGATACTACTGCTTGGCCACACAAATTTTTCCTCTCATTTCAAGGACAGGCACCCGGGGTTGGGGTCTTTTACTCAGAAGGCACGATAGCAAAAATGCTTTTTTCTCAACGTAGGCAATCTGCACGCAGGGCACTGCAGAGTCCTAGGGACAGGAACCTTATTTATTTCATGTTAGGTTCTAACAATGTGCCAGCTCTCTTACTGCTCAGGTTTATATATTTTTTAGAACAACTAAAGAGTGATTAAACAAACGTGTTATAAGATTAACTTAGGAATGAAAAGGAAACATATTTAGGTGTAAGTATTCAGTGGGAACCCTACAGACAAGGAGAGAATTTCCTCCTCGGCTACGTGAGCCCTTTGCGTAGGATGGCCTCTGCTAGGGGCGCGACTGTTGCCTCCGCAGGAGCCGGCCCGCGCAGCAGGAGCTCAGCACCATCCTGCCGGCGTGCGCAGTTCCAGGAGGCGTTGCAGGGGGTGCCAGCGCCCAGCGCCAGCCAGCATCCCACGCTCGCAGGCGCTGTGCCATTTACACTGTCCCAGGCTGGCCCCACAGCAGCCTTTCCATGCCAGGGCACGGAGAGGTGTTTGTAGGGTTGTGTGGGTGGGTGTGTGTGTGTGTGTTTGTGTCTGTCTTTTACTGGAGTAGTCGCATTAGCTGACGTCCCAATAAGACAATTAACTGTTGATCCGTTTCCTAAACTTTTCTTTGCCCAACCAACCTCTTTGCCATAATGTTCTTTGGAGAAACACAAGGGGAGAAGGGTTGGCTGTTTGTAGAGGGAAGTTTACTGAAGAGAGTTATGGACGAGAACTTTTGACATGTGACCAGTGAAAGGCGACAAGAGGATGCCATCAGCAGAAAGGAGAAAATCCCCAGGAGCCATCTCTGACATTTGGCACTTGCCTTGCAAACCCAGAGCATTTCCCAAGCTACGCACCCAGGCCCGGGCCACAGGCGGCAGTGGT